TAAATCTACCCGAAATGGAAAAGCGTGTAAATTTTTGAGGCAATGTGGGAGTCAACATGAACACCAACAGAGACCGGTCAGTTAAACCGGGACAGGCAGTCAGAAGCTCTCTGAAAGCCATATGGACACTTACTCTGATGCACAACTGCAGCGACATTAATGCTTTGGTTAACCCTGCACCCGGGAGGACAAAAACACAAAAGAAATGCTGGGTTCCGGCACGAAACCAGGCTTTCAGCCTAACGCTTTAAATATCATTTTCGCCTATTCGCACCAGGAACGAAAGGGTCCATGCTGGGCCCAAGTTTCCAGTTTTGCGGATCATTGGGATTTGGTGCTGGTCACACTGATCACAGATGTCGCTTTCGGGAGCAACCTAGTCACTTCCACCCTTGATGGGTTCTTCACTCCCATTTGACTGAAATCACTGTTCAGAAGACGAGTTGGTGAGCATAGGTTGCTTTCGATAAATTGTCTTCAGGCACATCCGTCGATTAAATTTACGTTGGAGATGGAATCGGCCGGTTCGCCCTTTTTCTTAGAGGCCCTTCTAAATAGGATACCTGACGGTAGCGTTCGAAGGAGCGTCTACGAGAAGGACACGTGGTCTGTAAAATTCACCATCTTTGATGGTTTCATAATCCCTCCAGCCAAACGAAATCTAAGCCTGTGTTTTGCACGGAGCTAGAAATATTTTTGAAACAGATAGCAGAAAAAGCAAAAACGCATTTCAGAATATCGGTTATAATTTCATGCGGAGACACCATCTTATACAGTTCTGAAGCTTGCTTTTTTCTAACCTATTACCTTTTTCGTTACTGACATCTTTGAGGAGTGTTTTAGAGCATTTTTCCTTTTTTGTTCTCTGGCGATTTCGCGGAATCTTGTGAACCGATTATTCAAACTGCAAAAAATATCAATAGATATTCCGCGGGGTTTGGTTCCGTAGCCCCATTTCATTGATACGTTTTGTTAGCCTCCTGAAACTGTTTCAGTTGATACGAGTATGCTGAGTACAAATATCACGTGTATTCACCTTTCTTACTATTTTAATCCAGGGAGTGACCCCTCCACGGGGACAGGAGGGCTTATACTCCATCCTCGTTTATATCACTTCACACGCGCTTCTCTGCGCGTGCTTCGAGTCCTGCTTGCGCCCAATTTATTGTCTTAAACCGGCAAGTGGCTAAGTAGGCTTGCTAATGAAATTGTTCGGACGGATTTGAACCCCGTCGGTTCCACTCTAGTGGTCATGTACTACAAGTTGACACGCGGCTCCCTCCGGGGCCTTCGAGTTGTGATTGCACCCTCATGGCTGTGTCGCGGGGAGTGTGTACATGCCACCTGATACGCGCTTCCCCGCGCGTACTGTGAGCTCTGCTTTCGCTCTCTTTCCCTTCCTAATCCAACAAGTAGCTAAGTTAGGCATGTTAACTAGTATTGTTCGAGTAAGCTAACCATATGGTATTAATCAAGTGGGGCTGCAGAACCGAACCTCGCCAAATATTCTAATCACACTTGAAAAATCCTTTAGGAATAGATAGGCCCCATATTACAGGTGGCCTCGCGTCATGTTTCATTTAGGATTAGGGGTGAGATTTGAGTTATATTTAGGGTTGGGTTTAGGGTTAGATTTAGGGTTATGGAGAGACGCTTAAGTACAATGAGTGACCGTCCTCATGAAACGCTGCCTGAAATTCTGAAATGCGTTTTTGATTAGGAAAGATTACT